GCCCGCGGCTTTTAACTTTCTTCCAGCGCATAAGACATAACAGAGGTATGTTTTGTAGGAAGCGCTACCAGCGCATGTCGCGTGATGAAGCCAAGTGTCCGACATTGGACTAATAGTGACAACGCAGAGGATGAGGCTAAGTACTAGGTGGGGACGACGAAAGCGGACAGTCGGAGAGAAGCCCGCTCCTTCGTTTAGCACTGTGTCAACGTGTGGAACCCAGGCCAAAGATCATAGAGCATCAATGAGGCCGAGAATGAAAGCATCGATAAAAGTTATTCTATAGGCATGGGTACTTTGCTGCTAGCTGCCTCGGCCATCAGATAAACAGTGAATAATTGTGGGCGCGCCCAGAAGCCGAGGTCTTAGCTGAGAGTGCTGAGTGCGCCTAGCAGAAAAGCGGGAGGAACCAGTCACCCAAAGCAACTGGTATGGTGGTTAAACTCGTTTGATGTGTAACAAGCACCACTCCAGGAAGGAACACATGGATCGCTGGAGGCTACGCTGACGAATGAGGATTAACCACCAGCCTACCCTGGTACCAGATAGGTTCCAGACCTGGAAGGTTACGATAGATGCCCTGCTGATGACCTCGTAACTTCAGCATCTCTATTCTTCCGTGGTTGAGCACCTCTTTTCCCTGCAAGCGGGCCCATTTCTGGATGCACCTGAAACCTGATCGTCCACTGAAAAATTACTCAGCATCGCGGCTCATATGACGTTGCCCGTCAGGAGATGAAACTACTGAGGGGATTCACAGTAAGAAGGAGAAGCTACCCGCGACTCAGTTAAAGCGCTTTGTACCACAGAAGTTTGTGACTCAGAAGGACGCACACCCTGTGATCTCATTAGCTTCGGGTCTCTCAAACGTGCTAAATTATCCGTGCTAGAGTTTTCGTGTTTAAGCCCCACTCATGCGTCTGTGTTTATCTGCCGTGACGTACTTGCTGCCCTCCGTCGCGATGGAGTGGAACTGGCTGCGTCGTCGTGCCACAAACGCGGGACGGGCCAAGCAAAGAATAAAAACACAAAGAGCATGAACACATTTGATACCTGTAATAAATAGGCGAGCGTGTGCGGACATTAGTTAGTACCGCTGAAATCCGTCACGGATTCACGGATTGATACACAGGATCGAGGCTTTTGCCCAAGTTGCCGGGTCGGTTTTGTTCTTGTCGGTCAGTGGCTGAAAGGCACAAGTAAAAAAAGGGTGTAGCACTGCTCTTTATGTTCTCAGCGCGGGGCAGTATGCTCGCCAGCGCGAGGATTCGCATAAATAAATGTCCAATAGTGCTTTAAATTGGGTTCGAGAAGGAGCGTGTACAACCGTCGGAGGAAGGTCATTCCACGCAGCTACTACCCGAAATGAAAAAAAGTTTTGTCTAATGAATGTGT